CGAATTTTAAAGAATAAAAAATTCTGTTTTTACAGAGAAAATCATTTATTCAAAGATTTTTATTATTCAGTTATTGTGTAAGAGTTATATAATGTGGGAAACGAGTCAATCCAAACCGTGGATTCGCTCCACAATTTTCATATCATTTACTTTCAATACAATTTCAAGCTTTACATGTAAATCATTTGATATGTTTTTTGTTCAACTTTTTAATAAACTCAACGCTTATTTTATTTCCTGTTTTCTATCGCCTTATCATTTCGTGTAATACCTTTTCAGGTACTTTATTATTATTTTTCTTAAGTTATAAATAGTTTTGTTCCCGTCTGTCATAATATTTTATATACTGTTCACGTAATATGAGTTAATATCACAGTTAAGACATACGTTAATCGACATAAAGTTCATATATAATAGCTTGGCAAACATTTTCACTGGTATTTGAGTGCATCTGGTTTTTGTCAATTGAAGGTGTGATCTAATGAGAGTAATTTGAGTGCCGGTGCCGAAGCCTAACTGTCTGAGAGTGTCATCTAATGACAGAGAGAGAGAGAGAGAGAGAGAGAGAGAGAGAGGCCAACTGTAAGCCGAGTGACAATTGCGATAACTTAGAGCACACAACCAAATGACACCAATTGAACAAAGAATAGCTTTATATTCACTCAAAAGCTTACATAATCTCACCTTTAAATCACAACAGATCTTCATTTGACTGTTAATAAACTGACAGTTGTTTCACTCAATGCCCACTGAATGTCAGCCCATAATCGCATTCATTTTTCTATGAATTTCTTTCATAGACTGTGTTTTTGATGATTACAAAAGCATAATACGATATATTGATTGACTAGAAAAAGTGGACTTATTTTTACTTTTTCTCCACAACTTATACTTTTTGTTCCCAAATAATGCTTATTTTATTTAGTGAGTCGTAAATCAATATGCAGACAATTATTACAAACATAAGAAAATATTTTTCTGAGCATTTCAGTGAATGAATGCATTTTCATATGAGAAGTGATAAACAAGTTATGCAAAAGAAATGCTCAAATGTTGTCGAGTGTAGAGATGAATGAATGAATGGACGGCATATAAATGTGCGCTCGTATTGTAGTCAATGTGTTGGACGGAAGCCAAAGGTGCCGTTCAGGGCATTAGAGACAGTGAGGGCTCACATATGCCGGTGACTAATGCGATGCATTGAGAAATGTAACTAAGATTTAGCGAAAATGAATTGCGTTATTGAATATTATTCGGGGGATCATCACAGAGATGGTGGAGCTCTCGTATACTACTTCTCCTGTCTCTCTCTCTCTCTCTCCACTCTCTCTTACTTTCTCTCCTCATCTCTTGTGTCCCAAAACGCATGACCCGAACACTCACTCTAAAGCATGAGTTTAGCCTTTGCTAGTGTTTGTCAAAAGCGAAACCGTCAACACGAGAGAGAGAGAGAGAGAGAGAGAAAGAGAGAGAGAGAGCTATACAGATATATCGATCGATTAGTGGGTCAGTTCTCTCTCACTGTACTCTCATAGACGATGTGTCGGAGCTCTTACGCAATGAGCGATACATAACACATAAATTTTTATGCAGAAAAATAATTTTTGTCAAAAAAGTGAAAAAACCATAAATAATGATTTGGGGGAGGTTTGGGGTCGGTGCTCAATCTCAAGTAGAGCTAATGGACAGATGCATCACTTACACCACCACTTGAAACCATTATAAACACAATAGGCTTTCAAATACACATTTTAAAACTTTTTGAAAATGAAAGGATGGCTAACATATAATGGATGTACTTTTGTCAAGGCATTGGTTCCATAAGCCCTGTGCCAGTCGTCCACCACCTCCTCGTCCTTACAATAAAAGTTGCTTTTTCTGTATTTTTTAATTTTCAAATCAAGTAATTATTATATATAATGATTAATTATGGAAACTGTTTTGTCATCTCTTTTTATTTAGTCACTCTTTTTGATGTCAATTATTTTCCATTCTTTATCGTAGACTTGGATTTGATTTTTCAATTAAAATAAAGAGCTTTTCAGATGAGCTGAGCCTTCAAATTAGCGAATGATAAATAATTTTTTAGTCCTTTGAAAATAAGTTTTTATAATAAATAGCATTTATATACTCGTCTATAGTGTTCATATACTGTGTATTATTTTGATTAGCATTTATGATACGCTCTTTCCATCAATTAAAAGAGGATATAATGAATACAAGGATAGAGCAAAAAGAGATTAAATAATCCATTTTTCGCCAAACTTTTGTACACAGAGTTTGAGCGCTTCTCCAGCTCTTTGTATTTGAGGCAAACGTTTGTGTCATTTGTGATCGAAATGTTCATAAAGTAAACCCAATGTTGTGTTGGGGAAAGGGGTAGACATTTGTGCACTTTTTTGACGTTGCATTTAATTACTAAACTTATTGATAAAGGCTGGAAGGCGTGCGAGAAATTTGCTTTTATGTAAAACTGTTGTGAGACTAACACTTTGCGCTCGCATTCAATTCAATTGCATTTAATTTTATTTTCAGAAGACTTTACTTATTTGAGTATATATTTGCTGAATCGGCACAAACGATGTTAATTTGCATCATTCACTCATTCATTCATTCATTTCTATTTTCTTTTTGCATTCCGCAGCAGATATTCATTTTTAGTGCAATACTTTATAGCCATACCATACCAGTGCTCAACCAATACCTACCCTCTGCCAGTGCACAGTGTGTTGGATTAGGAGGCATTGGATGCACACAAACTCATTAAGTGTTTAATGAAGCGAATGCATAATCACATACAATATGCAAAATACTGTCTTTCCCTCCCATCCCTCCATTCTCTCTGTATTTTTCATTTAAAAACTCCAAAACATTAAATATTTTATATAACTTTTGTAATGAATTTCCACAGAAATTCAAATGTTTTTCGAGCTCTATATTGGATGCGAGAAAATATTTTTCTATTTTATAGTTTGCACTGAAATATCAAAAAATGTTTTCCTATTTTATGGCACCAGTAGTGCGCAGCGCATCCATCCTTCAAATACCGCCTCAAATGCTTTGATATGAAGTTATGATTATAGTTATGGTTAATACCAAACATCTTATGGATCTTATGGAGCCGCGCAGCCCTACCAGTGCTCTACCAGTGCTGTGATGTGAGTGGCGGTCGAGTTATGATATGACTCCCATATTCGCATATTTTCATATCACTTGCAACCACTTCTTCAATATTTGTTAAGCAATGTTATTCACAAATGTATTTATTTTGCAAACGTTTGCCTAATATTCATGAAAAACGGCGTTTCATATGAAATGATTTGATTGTTGACAATGTTTTACCGGAAAGTATTATTTCAGGCTTTAATATAAACATATGAAACGCTTACTAATAGCAAAGTCTATTGAAAAGCTATTCTGTAATACAGAATACAGAATCTGTATTCAAGTGTATATTCCGAGCCAACTCTGTATGCGTTAAATGCCTTTCAAATACATCTTTGTTTCCATTTTCTGATTTATTTGTCTCTTTTTGAGCACATTTTTCATTTTAATTGATTTTGAAAAACTAATAATCATTTATAACATGAACTGCACATATATTTCACGTGTAATCCCAGTGTTTTGAATATAAGCAAAATTATTCATTTGAGTCAAACAAATGCAAACACATTATTAATGAGATTTTGAGCGAATACTGTATATTAAGTTGTAATCCCTTATCAGTTGGAAATTTTGTTTGATTTTTATAACAGAATGAGACATAAAATGAAATTAAATGATTTTAATAAAACAAACTTAATTTAAAACTGATATCAAAGTATCCGTTTTGACTTTTGTGAGGGGGTTTCAAAATAAACTTTACATAAGATTTGGTTTAATTGATTCATTAATCAAATAAAACATGACATTCAGTATAAATATATATGAATCTAAACAAAAGCCATTATATTCTCAACGATTACTACTGAATATCATATGAGAGTCGAGTAGTCGTGCGCTCGACTCTAATAACATGAATGCCTTTTAATTAGATTTGTTGTCAAATTCCAGACAACTATTACTCGTACACAATATATACACAAATATTATATCCAAATCAAATGTTTTGCTAAATATGATTTCAAAGGCATATCATTTGGTGCCGTTTCTATATTTGATGTACATTTCAATCCATAAATTAATTTTGGATAAAAGCAGAGAATAGTCGGAGTATTTGGTGGAGAAAAGGGTCACAAATAGAGTGGCAGTACATAGAGAGGGATAGTTGTTATGAGAGAGGGATAGCTTAGTATGACTTGCAGTACAGTAGCAAATGGATGGATACATGTATTATGGATATTGAGAAAAGCTTTCAAACCATAATATTATATATGAATGAGTGCTAGCATTAGGAAAATATAAATGTAAGCAAAGTTTGCATCCATAACATCCATAACCTAATAGACTATCACTATATGTGAGTGCATATCAGGGCTGACCTCAGACTCGCCATTGAAATGGTAGTTCACTTGTGCACAGACATTACATACTGGATATAAGTGTATATACTTTTGCACTTTAGCTCAATCTGTCTGATGGATTGGCGTACGGGGAAAACGTAGCTCCAAATCCGCTCTAATAGCTCCTTTAGGTCCGATCCGTTCATCATTCTAGCACACTATCCAATGCTACTGTTCCTCCAATCCATGCCATACCATCCAATGCAATGCAATACACATATAACACAATTTATTACTCAATCTGCAAAATGCAATACAACTTATTCTCTGCCCTTCGCTCACATATTTCTAATCATATCTCAAATTTTCAATTCTGAATCCAATTCTCATGTCTAAGCGATTGCTTCCTAAACATCTGACTCTAACCTCTAACTTGTATTCACTTTGACTGCATTCACAGATTTAGTAATTTATTTTTGGTTTATTTATTTAGTATTGCGTTTAGAATAAAAAAAATTTTTTCTCAAGTTAACTCATATTTGATTTGATTGTTTAGGTTTGAAATCAGTGGTTGTGGTCGACAATGAGGAGGAGGAGGAAATAGTGGCTCCGATCGACGCTCACATCTGTGGGAATTGTAAACAAGAATTCTTAGGTCTCTCGCTATTCCTCTCGCATAAGAAGGAGTGCATCAAAAAGGGGGACAAATGTGAGCCAACTCTACCTCAACAACAAATCGCTGCTAAAGAGGACGAAGAGGTTGAGGATATGGAGGAAGACAAGGATGAGGACAAAGAAGAAGAAGAAGAAGAAGAGAACTCGGATGAGGAGGACTCGGAAGAGGTGGACGGGAAGTACTCTGCGATGTATAACAGAAGTGGTGACGAAAAGAGTGAAAGCTCGCAGACTTTGCAAAGAGTTGTCGAATCAGATAACGATTCCTCAGAGAATAGACTCAAACAAATGGCTTCGAGTGGTGGCGGTTGGCCTGTCATCGGACCATCGCTTTCATTATCAGACACTAATGTAGTGATAGAGTCGTTACAGAACACGTCAGTAGCGGTGGCCCAACACCCGCCGCCATCACCTGATCTCTTACCCCAAGTGCCACAAACGGCACTCCAGTCGACACTTTTCAATCTACAACAACAGCAGATGATGTTATTTCATGTGATCCATCAGTTGCAGTCACAGATTGCCACCAATGGAGGCACAGCCCCTCAAATTCCACTTCTAGTACCTCCACTACCATCCTCTACACCTTCCGATGTGTCGACGCCTGAGAGTGAAAAATGTCAGTCAAAGAACGCCGTTATTGACAAACCATCGAATTCTTCATCCTTTCCACAAACATCTTCCTCTAAACCAATGACACCCTCAGTCAAAACACCTCCACTTTCCATGTCATCAGTTATCACCCCTAACCTAACTTCTGGGACACCGGCTGTCGATTTGGTGACCCCAGCGGATCCATTGGACCGACCGCTAATTCCTCCCTCTTCACCACTAAACGAGACCTCATCTCCGGCATCACCTGATGAGCCAAACACTCTGGAACTGCTTCAGAGACACACCGAACAGGCCCTTCAGAATACAATGTCCGGCGGTTCGTTCCTATTGAACGGCATCGCAGGGATGGGAAGCTCGGACTTCTTGAGCTTCAGAAAAACCAAAGACGGCAAGGAGGACCCGATGTATCGGCACAGATGCAAGTTTTGCGGCAAAGTCTTCGGCAGTGACTCAGCGCTGCAAATCCACATCCGCTCGCATACCGGCGAAAGACCCTTCAAATGCAATATATGTGGCAATCGGTTCACAACAAAAGGCAATCTGAAAGTCCATTTCCAAAGACACAAAGCCAAGTACCCGCACATTAAGATGAATCCGCATCCCGTTCCCGAACATCTCGACAAATTCCATCCGCCAATAGAGCCGCCGACGGGTTCGCAGTCACCGACTAATTTGACCCCATTATCCACGCCTCCGATCTCAATGTCAGGAATGTCTCACATGTTCTCGCAATCGATTTCATCGTTAAATCAATCATTTCTCGACCCGACTGTCAGCCCATCCAAAGACATGAAAAGCATTTTGAATTCAAGTCTCGGCGAACGTATGGCAGACACTAATAGCAGTGGTTTGAGCACAAGTGGTGGTCAGCCCTTGCATAACATCTCAGATAACGTCTCCAACCAATCACTGAGCGATGACTCGGATCTCGATTGTGACGACAATGACATAATGGACGCCAAAGATGTGGAAGACGTGAGCGATGACGAGCGCGCCATCAATCTGGAGAAGACCACAAACCATACCAACAAATTGGAGGAATTGCCACTAAATTTACAACGAATTCGCAAAGAGATGGCTGAAGAGGAAGACTTCAATGAAGACGAAGACATGAGTGGAGACGAGTTCGACAAAGAGATGGATGAGTCGGAGAGACGGGAAATGACTGATAAGGATAAGGAGAACATCAACTCTGATGATGACATCTCCGACGGCGATTCAGACGATGGCATGAATATACATCCCGGTGCAGAGTTTCAATATTTGCCACACTTCCCACCCTATTTCCATTCGGGAGGCTTTCCGGGTATTCCCACGTCATTGGGTTTAATCCCGTTTGGTTTCCCGCCGGGTATGCCACCCCCTCCCCATTCAGGCCTCCCTAACTCAGAGGGCGGTGAGGGTTCCAATCGGGACCCCGTCTTCTACCAGGACTTACTGCCAAAGCCGGGCAGTACTGACAACACGTGGGAAACCCTAATGGAAGTACAAAAGGCTTCAGAAACAGTAAAACTGCAACAATTAGTCGACAACATTGAGCACAAGCTAACGGATCCCAATCAGTGTATTATATGTCATCGCGTCCTCAGCTGTAAGAGTGCTCTTCAGATGCACTACAGGACCCATACCGGGGAGCGACCCTTCAAATGCAAGATATGTGGTCGAGCTTTCACTACGAAAGGCAATCTCAAGACACATATGGGAGTCCATAGAGTCAAACCTCCGCTCCGTATTCTCCATCAGTGCCCGGTTTGTCACAAACAGTTCACCAATGCTTTGGTATGTATTATATTTTTGATGAATATTCAATTAGAGATAACTTTATGTGTTATGAATTCTTAAGTGATACTTATGTATGAGAAGTAGACGGAAACTTCACTGTTATTTTAGCAAACGTTTCTATTTTTGCAATTTATTCATAATCTAAATATGTTTTGCAAATTATACTAACATTTTGCAAGTATGACTTTCTAACAAATGTAAACATTTTTATGACTTATAGGTTCTTCAGCAACACATCCGTATGCATACGGGAGAGCCGACAGATATTCCTCCGGAACACATAATGGCAAATGAGATCAAAGGGCCGACACTAATGCCCTCATTCCAGAGGGCACTCCTGCCACCGCACTTTGCCGGTCATCTGCCGCCGCCTGCGGGACTCTTTGTGCCCCCATTTATGAACGGTTTGACAACCAGTTCTTCATTACACATTCCTCTCTCATCTCCAATCACTTCTTTATCCACAATAAAACCAAATTCATCGCCCGTTTTGTCCGCAGAAGTGAAATCCGATCAGAATTCAAGCGATGAGACGCCTGAATGTAAGCAGGAGTTGATCTCTCCGTCGACTAGCAATCGGTCGAGTCGTGCGTCGACTCCGGACTCATCCAAAAGTCCAAAACTGGCGCGAAGTCGGTCCCCATCGCCATCGCCTAAGCCGTCGGCACTTTCCACTCCCCTCGCAATCCCTCAGCCCGTCATAGTGTCGGCCTCAACGCCCAACCCCACCACCCCCTCGAGCGCCCCGATAGTGGTCTCAACGCAATCAAACGATTCCGTGAACTCAAACTTCTCCACCTCTTTGG